AAAAAAAAATGCTTTATTTGCAAGAATTCTGATAGATCGCTTAAAATTTAAAAACAATAAACCGATTGATCGTCTTTCTATTTCTTTTGGATTTTTCTGTTTACTGTGTTTATCGTAATTCGCTTCCAGAAAACAGAATATTTGATGTGAAAAAAAAGGAACTAAAGAAATTATTGAGAAGCTAGTGAGAAGGAAAAAAAAACTTGTTTACGGGTAAAACCGGTCCCATATTTTTACCGTATTTTTTGGTGTTACAAAAAATTATTTTTGCCAATGAATTCTATTGTTGAGATAGAAAAATACATCTAACCCAGCTAAACGACCAAAACCCCAAGCTAAACTGCTGAAGATTTCGTCCATCGTCTATTACAGTTGAAGATTCTGTTGCCTGGAAATACAAAACTGCTGATGAACAAACATCATAATCAACTGACAACAACTGATACGGATATGATAAGGATCAAGAGGCTTTTTAAACAGGTAATTACAGTGTTGTTTTTTTTCCAGTACCGTTTTTTTTCCAACCGAGCATCGGTTGTACTTCTTAAATGTATCAATTCAAAAAAATTTTAAAGTTATAAGCTGGAAAAAAAATAAAAGTGAACAAAAAAAGCTTTCAAAAAAATCAAACTGTTGAACAACCATCAAAGTTTTATGTGAACAACAATAAGGTGAGGAGACTTTGTTCATATTCTTATCGATTCCAAAGATCATCTGAAATACCAGAAAATTTCACTTGCTTTTCTGTATGTTTATTTTTTAACCGTAATTCTTATCTTCATTGGTTAACAATGTCTTTAACCGTTTATTAAAGGTTAAAAAATACTTTGGGGTGAAAAAAGCATTTGCCTAACAGTTTATGAAAGCTGTAAAAGATGATAAGTTGTTGTGTACAATCTTAATTTTTTTTAAGAAGCTAAAGTAAATGTTGATATAATCTTTTAGTGATCTTTTTATTAAATTGTTGATGTATATGCGGTTGCCAAATTTATTGGAACTGACAGTTTTCAATAATTCATCTATTCTCAAAAACAATGTATGTAGAAAATTGATTAGACCAACTTTACAGTATGGCGCATAAAGCCTCGACAGTGTTTACAACTGAAACATATTTGAAGATAAACTGTTTTGTCTGTTTACCCGATAACTGAGGTTAATAAAGAAAGGAAGAAGAATTATTAATAAGTGGCGTGCATAATTAACGACTTTGCTGCTTTGCTTTAATGATCTTCCGATGAGCTAATTAGTTATACTGTTTTGATCATCCCACCTCAACTATTCATCTCCATTTGGTTCTTTTATTTTATTCTTTAAGTTCAAATGTAAACAACAGTCTTATAATGGTGATGAGAAAAAAGTTGGGGAACAAATTTGTGACATTCAAAAAGTTTTGGTGTCTAAAGGCTGTTTTTGAATAAAATATTCAAAAAGTAAA